TCATTTCCATATTAGAAAAAGATAGTCCTTGGACCACCTTAAACGATCATAGAAAAGTAATCGATAGGTAGATTTAATAGAAAAGACCCCGTCACTCTCATTTTCCCTTATAACCTTGTCTTCACCTGCATGCAAGATATAAGCATTCTGAAAGATAGATAATAAATTTTGAAATTATGAAATGGCTTGATTTGGTGAGAATTAAATTACCAAGCACCACATTTTTGCAACTATAAATTTTCCTTCAAGATTTGTGAAGAAAATTTACTTCCTCTCCATTTATTAATCAAATGAGTAAAATGTTCAAAACCATACTTTGCTGCTAAGACATCTTTCTATAGCTGACTGAGGCCTTGAATGATTATCTATCACTGAGAAGAGCCCAATTCAGATATTTAAGCTTTCGAATTCTTAGGCCACCCATTTTCATCGGAGTGTAAATTTTATCTCATGTTACCAAATGGAATTTTCTATGGTTATCATCGAAAGAACCCTATATGAAGTTGCGTATAAACCTTTCAATGATTTTAATAACGTCGCTCGGCATTTGTAGAATGGACATGAGATAAAGGGGTAGATTTGCATAGGTCGATTTGACAAGGGTAATATGACCACCCAAGGAAAGAGTCTTAGACTTCAAGAGATCCAGCTTAACTTGGTACCACTGGATTAGAGGTCCCACACAGACCTAGGAAGCCTTGAATATGAGATATAAACCCCCAAATATTTGTGAGGGAAAAGAGTCAATTCTGCAACCAAGAATAAGAGCCAAAGAATGAAGCACATCACGGGCACATGAAACCCCAACCATAGATGTTTTATGAAAATTCACTTAGAGGACCATGGCTAGTTGGCAGCACAAGAGGAAAACACTGAGATTTTTAATCATGACTGGATCTGGAACACAAAAGATCAAAGTATCGTCAACGTATTGTAAATGTGAAATAAAAGGCCCGTTGGTCCCAGCTTGGAACCCCTCCAGTCTTTCTGTTCTCACTATATTTTTATACATCATGCTGAACTTTTTTTCCATTTGGGAAAAAAGAAAAGGGAAAAGAGGGTGACGTTGTCTAAGACCCTTAGAAAGCTTTGAAAAAACCTCGGATAACCATTAATTAGGATGAAGAAGTGAGCTGAAAAAAGACAACCCAAAATACAAAAAATCTAGTTGGTACCAAAATTCATAACCTCTTCGAAGTTTTTTTTTCTGGTTGCCGTACATGTGAGCCTTTTTGAGCTTCTCAAGGTTATTCGGTTGTGGTGGAGGGAAACTTGTATACGGAACAACAACAGAAAATGATCCGGGTCAAGTGGGCATTTGCAAAAAGGATTTTAGTTTTCCAATCGTGACCTAACCTCAAATTTATTAAATAAAAGTTGAGAAAAAAGTGATTTTTGAGAGTTTTATTGTTGGTTGATCTAAAATATCTATTGTCAAAGCGATGAACGTTTGACTTGGTTCACATGGATAACGCACGTTTGAAAGGAGAATTCTACAAAAAGCCGCCTTCTACTAAACAAAAAAGAAGTTTTAAGATTTCAATACAAAGTCACACTCAATGGTTAAAAAGAGCAATTAAAAATCAAGAGAGAACGAGAGGATTTTTCTTTACACCAGGGCCCCAAAGAACCGTCCGGGGGTCATGCTGACTTGGATGACGTGGCTTCTAATCTTTGTTAAAGCGGTCAACACGTGTGCATCTACCTGGTATGGCGTCATCCTCACCCTTTCCATCAGTGTAACGTCCGCCTTTCTCTTTTGCATTGTCACCGGCCACCGGCTCTTCGTGGGTGGTTTCACCGACATGCGGGTTTGATTGCTACGCGGCATGTTGATTTTTCAGATTTTCAGGGTCGCAACGGCCAGGGCTCTTTCCAAATACTTTGAAAATTAACTCTCTAAAAAATGCATTACAAGATCCATTATCTTCAAATTTTAAAATCTATTTTTTTTTTCTCATCATGAGGTCCAGATGATCAATTTGAACATATTTGAGCATCAAAAACAACTTTTTGTAATAAAATTTTTGAGGCGTACCCTAATTTGATTGTTTAGAGTCTCCCACTTATACAAATTTTTTTGTTTGATAATTGCTTTATTGTACCATAAAACAACTCTTTCATTTGTACTGAATCAGTTCCGACTAAGAATGACGTGGATCTCCACTTATTTTTAACCTAGATCGTCAATTTCTTATCCAAATTAGCAATTTTCAAAATACTGATATCTCCTAAATCTCTGCGTATGACTTTTTAATTTGTCCGGATCGCCCTGATGTTTACCTTGATGCAATAACACCAAAAGATCAAAAAAAAAAAAAGGGAAACATTTATACAGAGCCGATGCTCTAAACAATCAAATTAGATCTCACCTCAAAATTTCACTGGAAGAGGTTGTTTCGATACTCAGCTATCGTCCAATTGACCATCTTGACAGCAAGCGTGGGCATGAGAAAAAAATGGATTTAATGTCTTAAAAATAATACATCTTGTAATGAATTTTTGGACCTTTAATTTTAGAGATTTTTCAAGTGTTCATTGGTTTGTTGGATCTACACTAATTTTGAAGCTTTAAATTTTATAATTAAAGATGAAAATATATTTTAAAACTATCACAAATATTTCCAGTCTTAAAACTATATTTTTTAACACTATTTGAAGGTGTGCTTTACTTTAATTGTTTAGAGCCTCGGCCCTATACAAACCGCACCCATTAAACAATCGTAACCAAGGTTTTAGAAACTGGAATCGCCCGTCCAACTGGGTCGCAATTGAGTAGGATCAACGACTATGATTCCAAATTGGCTAGGCGCTTCACCCGCACGGAGAGAGAGCAAAAGAGGGCGAGAAAGAATTTTTTTTAGAAACAGCACGTACTATGCTCCAAACAGAGTATACTGTACACTTGATCCCTCAGATAGAAAACTAAATTTGAGATCATCTTTTTGCTATAAAATTTTGGGAACCACGTAAAATTTTCCAGATCATTATATTTAAATTTTTTTTTGAATTTTTAGTTTTCTAACACTTAGATCCCGTTTTTAAAAATTGGCCAGCCTTTAAGTATTTTTTTTTTTCAAGCCTATAGAGAATGCAGTTTAAAATTTTTCTTACTATTAGCATATAGATTGAAGAAATTATATTCCAAAAATTTTAAATCTTAAAAATACTCCTAGATTAAGTTTCACGACGGTTAATAGACAATATTCATCCTCAAAAGCACCAAACCTTTTCGCATTAAAATAGCTATTAAGGCCATTTTCAACATTTTACCCACATAAAAAAACTAACCTTTTTTTTCTCAAAAAACTTTTAAGATCGACCATTTCATAAGTGGCATCATGGCGATTTCCCTAAATCCAGGGTAATCTTGAGCGTGCGTCCGTAATTTTCCAAAAGCGCAAGAACCAGCGGTACCATCACGAAAGAGTTTTAACTTTTATCTTTAAAAAACGTCTACTTCTCTCCCATTAAAAATATAAGAAGCAAGCTTTCTATGCCTACAACATAAAACTTATATACTTAGTTTTTATTTATGCAACAGTACATTATGAATGGGGTTAAGATTGCCTCAATCACAATGTCATGTCTCTACAATGTTTTATTTTTATTTATTTTTTATAAATTATTTGGACATCAAATTTTATAGGTCCAATCTTCTATTAAATTTATACTAGCAAAATATAAAAAACAAATATTTCTAATAAAATAAAATGACCAAAATACCTCTGAATATTTCAAGAGGTATTTTGGTCATTATATTTTATCGAAAAATTATTTTTAATATTTTTTATAGGTGCACCTCAATGAAAATATATCACGTACCAAATTTCATATTCATACAATTTGTATAAAAAACATAAAAATAAAATACTTTGAGACTTCGGATCTAAGATCAAATGGTGAGTGGCTCTCTTGATCAAAATTGAACGGCTGGAAGGTAGGAAAAACATAGAAACATTTCTCAAATATAAATAGTTTAAATTTTTTCGCTTGTTTTAAACTGTCTTTCACTATCCAAGCGTTCAGTTGGAACTCCTCTTGTTCCACCACGAATAATATTAAGGAAAAGTTGTTTTACATGGGTTGGACCGCATTTATACAATATACGATCCCAAGATATAAAGCAAGTTAATGGTCCAAATGTTTTCTTCATAAAATCATTAGGTTTTTATTTCTTAAAATTTATTTATTTATTTATTTATATCCATGATCTCCATATTAGAAATTATATGTTCTTAAAAATTGGGTCCGAAATCTATCTCAAAAATAGATTTTTAAGAGTCTGACTCATTTTTACATGGACTCATAGAAACTGTCCGAATAAAAACTACATAATGTATAAATAAAATAAGAAGCTGTTATTCTCACGTTTATTTTTATTAATCCGACCTAAGATATTGTATGCTATCAGTTGTCACATCCTTGTTTTGGGTGGAACAATAAAATGTTGGGTAAGAATAGCAATTAATGAAATAAGAGCTTCTCTTTAATATCAAAAATTTAAGAAAAGGATGTAGTTGTAGTGAAGCTAAGGATTATGAAAACAAAGTAAAGCCTCACCTTGAATGCTTATCTAGAAAGGCATCATAAATCTTGGTTCTAAAATCAAATTGCAACACGGACTATGGAATGAGATAGATCTTGTGAATCCATAAGTATTTATTTTTATAATGAAATAGACGGTCTAGATAATTTATTACAATATATACTTTTAAAACCTGAAATCCTAAATTTTTTGACAACTATAATGGTTAACGCTGAGATGATCGATTTGAAATTTCTTGATGCTATAATTACAACCATAATGGTAAAGGTTAAGTTTCTCGATGCTATAATTATAATTTTTTTTTTTGAAGTGGGGCTTTACACATTTTGATAGGACCGCAGCCCCGATCAAACTATTTACTTCAAAAAGTGCAGCGAACGGTAAATTTTTCAAGTGAACGGTAACTCCACAAGGGAATGTATACGTTGCGGTATAAAAGTGCAGGTTCTTTGTGAGCTACATTAATTTAGAGAGAGAGAGAGAGAGGGAGAGGGAGAGAGAGTCCGTCTCATTTTCCTTTTGGATGCTCACGTTTTTTAGCAGGCCATTGTCCATGGCGTATACCCCATGTCTTTTCCTCGTCCTTGTGCTACCTGGTATGCCTCTAATTCCTCTATTTTATTTCCTAGTTTCTCTGGATGTCTGCCCTTTTTTTTTCTTGATTTTGAAGTCTATGGATTTTGTTTTTCCTTTGTTTTGAAGTTCTCATGTAATGTGGTTTGATTTTTCGGTTTCCTCTGTTTATGTGTCCTGCTTCTCTTCACTTGAAGTTCTCATGGCTTTTACTTCTAGTTATAGTTTCTTTAGGATATTTAGTTTTAGATTTTCTTTATTGAATTGGGTTAATTCTGTTTTTCTGTTGAATTGAGATTCTCCTGGCCTCTGGTTTATTTCTTGGGGCTTCCACCTTTTATTTCTATAAGGAACATTTGTACTTTGCTTCTTTCTTCACCCAGATCTGCTTCTTCCGAAAGGTTCGGGTGTAAATTGTGAAATAAATCTAATTCTTGGATGCTCCCCTATTTATTTTCAGATTTTTTGTGGTTCTAAATGATTGGGGATGGATGTTAAATTATGAATTTTAGTTTATTTGAATAGGATTTTGAAATTGAAATATTCTTTGGGATTTCTTGTTTTCTGATGCTCTATGTGTTGTTGTGTGTGAATTGAAAAATTTGATTGTGTTGGTCATTCTTGAAACATAAGGACTTGAAGTTTTTGGCTGGAATTATAAGTTTCAGTTATAGTTTTCTTGATTCGCCTGTTTGAAGCGATTGGGATTTAATTTCTCAGGGATTTAGATGGTAAAACGGCTTTTTTGTAAGTATGAATTCATTGTGTGTTAAAAGATGTTTTTCTTGGAAGAAATTCAGTCAATCTCTGTAAGCATTTTTTTACTTATGAGAATTGTCTTTTGATCTTGTGACCTCTGGGCAATGGAATTGTGATGTGTATGATGGTCTAATGCATTGCTCTCAAAAGGAAATGCGGTTACAGTTAATAATTTAATCCTGCTTCCAAAGTTTCCAAGTATTACTCAAATGTGAGGGGATCCTTTTAAGACCATCAGTTTCTAAGCCGTAAAACTTAGGAATTGTAATCCACTTCAAAACTGGATACTCAAAAATTCAGTTTCGGAATATATATCATACATGACATGTGTAAGTTATATGGTATGGGACAGCATAGTTGTATCCACATACTGTTGTTGATGATGGATGGTAGGGACTAATTGCAGTTTTCGATACAGGCATTCTCCTGGGCGCAGTTAATCTCTATTGTCCATCATTAGTAACAGAAAGTGGATGGTCGTATGGTGTACTGAACATGAACAAGTATGATTTCCTTAGGAGATTTGATTATCTACTATTTGATACTCTTTTTTTTTCCTTTCACTAAGGGGATGCCTTTGAATCAACATGGAAACCTATGCAATTTCAGAGGTATTATAGCCCAAAGCTCAACTGGAAGGCATTTTGTATCATGCCCTTGAGGTTGTGGGTTCAAACCCACTTTTTTTTTTTTTTTTCCATTTTCTGAAACTGTTTGGTTTTAAACCCAATTCGCCAATAGAGAGAGAAAGAAAATGTGCAAGTAGTTTCATGCTTCAATCACATAACAAACATCTATTTCTCAAAACTAATGAACCAGTTTGTTGGGTTTTGAAGGTCTAACACTCCAAGCATTGAGCTTAGGCGTCGGTATAAACTATGGCCAAATCGCCAACAATCTTCCCTCCCCCTCACGAGTGGCTGGCCTCCTCAACTCTCTCTCTATCTCTAAAGTTAAGCTTTACGACGCCGACCCCAATGTCCTTCGAGCCTTTGCCAATACCAATGTCGAATTCGTAGTTGGAATTGGCAATGAGCTCGTCGCAAACATAACAGACCCAGACAAGGCCTTACAATGGCTAACTACCCATGTCCAACCCTATATCCCTTACACTAAGATCACTTGTATAACAGTGGGAAATGAGATTTTTTCAGGCAATGATACTACCCTAATTACCAATCTTGTCCCTGCAATGCAATCTCTCCATTCAGCTCTCCAGACCCTTGGATTGAGCCACCAAGTCAATATATCGACCGCCCATTCATTGATGGTCTTATCAACCTCATACCCACCTTCTTCAGGGACTTTCAAACCCGATATTCAAGAGTACATGCAAAGTATACTAAACTTCCATGCTGAAACCAATTCTCCATTCTTGATCAATGCTTATCCTTACTTTGCATATAAGGATAACCCAAATAATGTACCGCTGAACTATGTGTTGTTCCAGCCTAATGAAGGGGTGGTCGACCCAGTAACAGGGCTTAGTTATGATAACATGTTATATGCTCAAATTGATGCGGTTTATAATGCAATCAAAACATTGGGTCACCCTGAATTGGAGGTGAAAATTTCGGAAACAGGGTGGCCTTCAAAAGGGGACGAGAATGAAGCTGGTGCAACACCTGAAAATGCAGAGATTTATAATGGGAATTTGCTCAAGAGAATCGAGATGGGGCAGGGGACTCCAATGAGGCCTGATGTGCCATTGCATACTTATGTTTTTGCATTGTTCAATGAGGATTTGAAGCCCGGTCCAACATCTGAGAGGAATTATGGGTTGTATAACCCTGATGGAACACCAGCTTATAACATTGGGCTTAATGGGGTTCTTCCTGGGTACCATTCCGGGTCGTCGAGTAAGGTATGTTGTGTCTTATTGCTGTTTTTTTTTTTTTTTTTCAATGTTGAGTTTGCTCTTTGCTCCTTTTGAGGGGGAGTTCATGCTAAAAGTTGTTGGATCATTTGAATATTTTGGGGGGGCAATCCATGCTGAAATTGAGCATTTCTTGCCTGCAATTTTGGTTGGAATGAGCCCCTTACGATGAAGTCAAGTTTGAAGGAACAGATCTTTTTCATCGATTCTAGACCCATCTTAATGATTATTTGGCAAGGATCATTATTGGGTTGGTAGAAACTTAAAGAATGTTTGGGGTGGTTTTAAATCTACAAAACAAAAATTTTGCAAGGTAGTGTTTTTAAAGGATTAAAGGAAAGTCGTGCTAATTTTATTTCAAAAAGTTTCTATGATATCCAAATTTTCAATTCTACGGTGCCCTGGTGCACAACGCTCGTCACCGCCTACGCTTTGCCATTGAGTGATTTGTGTTGTGCACGGCGCACAGTGCACAAGTATGAAACTGCCATCGAGTGATTTGTGTTGTGCACAGCGCACAGTGCACAAGTATGAAACGCAAATGAATACTTGAAAAGGCTCTCTCTCTCTCTACATGGGAATCCGTTGTCATCCTCTTTTTCTCGTAGGTGAGAACTGGTTTATGGTGCATTCTGAGCCTCATTATAGCAATTTTAATCTGACCGCACAAACGACGCGTTGAGACTTGAGATCCAGAGGAGAGGGCGTCATAAATTTGGACTTTTCCTCTCTCTGAAATTTTGTTAGAGAGATCACACAGGTCAGTGGATTCTTCCCCACTTCTCCATTTATTTAGTTTCATTATTAATTAGATGCTATTTGCTGTGCATTTGGGGTCTCATATTTCTTATCGCCATGATCACACCTTTTCTCTCTTAGAGAGAGAGATGGAGAGAGATTCTTTCTGTCAACAACTGGACAAAAGTTCCATTGTCTTTATTCATAGAGGGCGTGGTGTCATGCTCTGGCTTTTAGGGCTTATCTCTTAAATGATTTAGAAAGGGAAAAAGATTGAAAGAGAAAACCCATGAACCATTTCACCGACTTTATTGGTATCTCACAAAGCTTGAAGGAGACTGCATATTCTTCTTCTTTCCAAAGGTTCTTCTCAACAAATACAACTCTCTCTCCATCTCTCTCCTCTTTACATACTAAAACCTTTTTAGTGATCTATTTGGCAATAAAATATTGTTTCACTTTTGCCCTTCCTTGCCAAAGGTAAAGGAAAAAAAAAAAAAAAAAAAACAAAAAAAAGAAGAAGTTCTAATCTGAATAAGTGTTTTTTCAATTGGAGACCCTTTAAAAAAACAAAAAAATTACAAAAAGAAAAAAAAAAAAAAAGAAGAAAAAAAATAAAATAAAATAAAATAAATCCCTTAACCTCCTTTCCTCTCTGTCTCTCCAACTCAATAACACTCTTTTTGGCACGACAAGAGTGATTCAAAGCACGTGGGATGACTATATATTCATGAGAGTATTAAGTTTTTCTTGAAGACAAAGCATTGGTGCCCATGTGAGCGTTAAGAAGCCTTTGAACGCCCACCCACTAACTCTTTTTAACTTCTTAAGGGAGGTGGCAGTTCTCTATCAAACTTTCTTTTATCATTTATATCAACATTATTATGCATTTCACATGGGAAAAGCTCATTAAAATATGGAAAATGACAGTCCTATCGATCTTTATCATTATGGTTGTAAAAGAAATTAGGATTTCGAGCTTTAAAAATATTGTATCTTATAGCACATTATCTGGAACATCTATTTTCAAGTATCCACTAATTCATAAGATCTGTACCATGTGTTGATCCAAAAATTTCGTAATTATTGTTAAAAATTCATTTTTAGAGTAATCGTTTCCTACGCCCAGAGTGTTCTCGAGGTGAGGCTTGGCTTTCTTTGAGGTTTGAGGCTTAGGCCTTGTAGAAACTGCATCATGCATCATTGTCCACCGTCCTTTTTGGACCGAAATTTCGTTCTCTTTTGCCGCCATTTCGGACTAAGGCTTCTCGTCTCTCTAAGTCGTCAATTTTGCGTTCCATTCACTCATACCGAGATTTCACATTCTCTATATTGTCAAACTTTCGCACTTTGAGTCCTTAAGTTAGACCAATATTTGGTTCTCTCTCCGATTTCGTGACGCATTATTGACCGAAATTTCGCTCTCCAAATGCTTGCAGGTGGGGGCGTCATTCTTTCAATTCGCACGGGGCTTGAATCATTCACGACCGCGACGTGTGGTGGTCTAATTTTAGTTTTAATTTTTTCTTAGTTTGAAAGTTAATACAAAGTCCAATTCTTTAATCATCGAACTTATTTCTTCGGTGTAAAGAACCAATAATTACTAGAGAAAGAGGTCACATATTTCTTATCTCTCTCTAAATCTGTATTAATTCTAAAATAATGAAAGAGGAAGGGAATATATTCTGTCTTACGAGAGGGAAAAGATCAGGTACCTTTCTTTTTTATTTCTTTCAAAGCAATATACCTTTTTTATATCTTTCAAAGCAATATAAAGTCCAATTCTTTAATCATCGAACTTTTTATTTGTATCTAAAGATTCAATAAATTACTTAATCACAGAGAGAGAGAGAGACTTATCTCTCTCTAAAATTGGGGTAATAATAAATTAATGAGAGGGAGAGGGGGAACATTTTCTAGTTGTTTCGCAAGAAGGATGACGTGGCTTTCCACTTTAGGAGGCCTTATTCGTAGATGAAGTAAAAAAGAGCCACGTTGGAATGGCGTTGGATGTGCAGGTTAACACGTCAGTTGAGATTGCGGTGGGTCTAAAATAAACCATCTCCTTAACTTTTTAAAAGATTTTTATATTTTATTTTATTATTATATAATATAATATAATAATAATAATAATAATAATAATATTATTATTATTATTATTTTTTGCCTCTATATGCAGTTATTAGGTTTGTGTGGTTAATTTGCAATAGGTAACGAGACCTCATGTGAGAGTATCTGACGAGACCCCCAATACAACTATTTCTCTATCTCTCTTACGTAAAACAATAATCTGTATTTTTTAAGGGATGGGGGCTTGGGTCAAGAGTTTTCATAGCACTACTTTTCCGGTTTCAACTTTGTCAAAAAAAAAATAAATTTATTTTTTTTATTTTTCATATTGATTTTTATTTTTGGGGTATCATCCAATTTTTTAGGATAATATCTAGGAATTTCTTGTATCATTTTATTTAGGGGAGTGATTAAATGTATCTTTAGTACACTGTTACAGTGTGTTGGGGATTGGGAATGTCCATTTTCCCAAGTAAAAAAATCTTGAAACTTATTTAGGGAAGCCGGCCAACTATTTTTTTGTTCAACCAGTTTCACATCCTCTCTCCCCCCACCCCCTCCATTAAGACCAGTGTAAGAAAGAGCGACTCGAGCCGACTAATTGGTCATGGGCAGAGCTGATTACTTGGGCCAAGTTGAATTACTCAGCCCGATTAGTACAGAGTTATGTCATGTGCAAAAATGTGGATAACAAACCCCAAAAAAATTATAAAAACTGTTAAAATTTAATATGTAATTTTTTTTATTATATTGTCATATATAATAAGGGACACAAACAAATATTATAGTCATAATTAGATTCCAAATAAAATTTTTAGGCACCAGAGGCAATACTTTTTCAGTGAGCACGTAATTGAAGGAAATGACATATTATACAATAGTAAAAAACATTGCTCAAATGTGGCATGATCGACGATGGGGTTCGGGACTTTCTTGACTTTGGCTATAAAGGTTGACTGGTGCAAAAATCGTTGTGAAGCCCGGTGGAGTTTGTAGGGCAGCAACAATACCTCCTTGCTGACTAGGAATACTACCTTGTGAAATTCCTAGGCCATAATCATCTAAACTTTGAAACTGTCAACGTTCCTCTCCTCCTTGGCCTGTATTTTACTCCTCGTTGGTGTTCTTATTGTCTTGAATACTAGCTTACAATGCCAACCACCTGTGCGTCTCTGTCTAGGGTGCAGCTGCTATGCTTGGCTCTCTGGTCTTCTTCCTGAACCAATCTAAGCTCCTCTTCTTCTCTGATGGAAGTCGTAGTACCTTGCAGCACCTCACACTCTATGACCATTGGCGTACTCCATTCATCTCACATTACCCCATCATCATCATCGTTATCTTCATCATTTCCCTCATCGAAGTCATCCTTGTCTTCCTCCATGTCTTTTGTGACTGCCGCCACGTTCCCCTCATTGATTGCTGGAATGTCAACATTGTTCATGCACGTGACCTGTCTTCTAAGAACACCTATCTCGAGAATAAGGGGATAATGATGATGGATGCGTTGAGAATTGGAGATGTGATGGTTATCCGTTCCATTATTAAGTTTAAGTGCCTAGAATGAAGGGAATGCTTGAGAAGATTGAGGCATGCATGCATGGCCATGATTGGTTAGGTGCCTCGATCTAGCCTCCGGGTCGGGTTGACCTGGTGGCGTGGTTCTGGGTTTAAGATGGACCCGGGACCTGAGATCGCTTTCTCGGGAACCGTGCGAAGGGGGCACGGGCAGGAATACCAATCGATGAGAGAGGAATTAGGGTCGCAAGGCAGGATTCACCTTGCATGGGTCCGTGACGTGCTCGGGCTGACTCGCGTGGGCGCCCTCTTAGATCACGAAGAATGCCCCTCTAGCCTGTGGCCGGTTTGGAATCGCTTCGCTTGACTTGTTTTCTTCTTACATGCAAAACACACACACACACACATTAGAGTATAGATAAGTGGGTCTGATGACCTCACCTTGTCATAGGGTGAACACACACATGCATGTGTACTCAAGGAGAAATGAAAGAAATAGGATAAGAGGGTCCATATCAATTCGACAGCCTTACGACGTTTCCTTGATGAGGGCCTTATAGTAAGATCCTATAGTAAGGAAAGAAAGAAAGGGGTGAGATAAAAGAGATGACAAAGAAAAGGAGAAAGGGTTTGAAGGCTAGTGTTTCTTTCAACTAGTTCTTCAAATAAAAGTGGGATGGAGTTTGGATTGGATTTCACCTAACTCCTAGAGGCGAAGAATAGAGATTTTTGTGAAGAGAAGGAGAAGAAAATGAACGAAAGAAGTGATGAAGGTCAGCTGGGTTCTCGCTGAACCTTCGAAGAATGGAGTCGTTTGACGCGACAGCTAGGTGTGCATAATGACAAGACTAGCGCGAAGACTGGTCTAGGACAGTAGCTAGACGTGCATGGTAACTGGACAGTCATAACAGTTAAACTACTCAACGATCAAACATACACGATGACTAATCTGGCACAGTGGCTGGTCTTGTGCGGCAGCTAGACGGGCACGGTAACAAGCCCGACACAACGGCTAAACTACTCGACAACAAGACTGGCACGATGACTGTCTTGGCATGGTGACTAGTGTGGCGCGGCAGCTAGACGGGCATGATAACTAGTCCAACACAACAGCTAAACTACTCGACATCAGAACTAGCACAGTGGTGCAAGACCTAACCAGCCCTCTAGACAAGCAAAAAAGGGATGGGAGAGAAAAGATATCATGCCCAGTAGTGTGTGTTGCCGTGCGTGGCAGAAAGTGGGAAGGGAGAAAAATCACGCACGACAGTGTTCAGTACCGTGTGCAACAGTCAGAGAGAAGGAAGGGAAAATCATGCATGGCATTTGCACTACCGTGCACAACAAACAAAGGAGGAAAAGATTTTCACGCTCGGCAGTATGAACTGCCGCATGCAACAGGCTGAGAGAGAGAAGGAGATCACGCCCGACATTTGCACTAATGTGGGCAACGCACAGGGGGAGAAGAGATTGTCACGCTTGCTAGTAAGCATTGCCTTGCGCAACAGACTGAGAGAGAGAAGAAGATCACACTCGGCATTTGCACTACTGTGCGCAACAAATAGGAGAGAAGAGATCGTCACGATCGATAGTATGCACTGCCGCATATTTGCATTGCCGTGTGCAACGAACAGGGAGAGAAGAGATTGTCATGCTTAACAGTATCCACTGCCGTGCGCAATAGACCGAGAAAGAGGAGAACATGGGATGAGAAAGAAATAGAGAGAAAAAAAAAAAAGAGAGGAGAAAGGAAAGGAAAGAAGAAAGAGAGAAAAGGAAAAAGAGAAGAAAGAAAACGAAGGAAGGAAAGAGAGAAAAGGAAGAAGAAAGAGAGAAATAAGAGAAAGAAGAGAGAGAAAGAAGAGAAGAGCAAGAAGAGAGAGAGAAGAGAGAAAGAAGAGAAAAATAAGAGAGAGAGAAGAGAAAAAGAAGAGAAAAATAAGAGAGAGAGAAGAAAGAGAGAGAAAGTTTACCTTATGCTCGAAGTACCACCAAAAGTATTCTCTCTTCTCTCTCTCTCTCTCTCTCTCTCTAGGACATGACCCAAAATCTCAAGCAAAAAGTAGATTTTTTATTGATGAAACTTGGGTTCTTTTACATGAGGTGCATGCTTGTTTATATAGAAATGGCGCCCAAAGGTGGGTGTACATTAAAAAGTTGTTCTAATTGTTAAAAATTAGGTATTAAAATAATTAAAAATAATTTAAGAAAATGGGGAAAAATGATGATTTTGCCCTTGCACCAACAATCCATAAAATTCAAATTGAGTTCCCACTGTGCCCAATAACTCTTGCGATCTTCCCGGGTTGGTTCGGGGTCTTTTCGATCTCCATTCGACCGAAAGATGATTCTTTTCTTGATCAGCTCGAGAAGACGATCATTTTGATACCACTTTCGAGCCACGGATTGGGCCCTTAGGCCACGATCATAAGTGCGAAAATCACGGGAAACGTACGATCTTTGTTTAAAGACTACGTGCATTTCTTGGTGTTTTTCAATGATTTATTCACTGAATATCGACGAGCAAGTCATTGTGAGCGTTTGGTGACGAACGTGGCTTGATTTGGTGCCCAAATGAAGATTTTCCATTTTTGAATTTTGGCTGGAATTTGGTTTCTGGTGGCCGAAAAGTGCAGCAACTTCGTATCATTGCACGTCAAATCTGACCGTCTATCACATCCGTGGTTCGGCTCTGATGAAGCCTCGAATCTTGTGCTCGTAATAGGTTTGGTTTTGGGTCGATCTGACGTGCGAGCACCGTGAGGTGGCCACTCCATCGAGGTGCGCTCCTGCTGAAAAACTTGCAACTTTGCCTTGAATCGTGATCTTCTCTCATGTTTTTCTCCCTGCTCGGGCCCCGACATGGGTTGTGCCACATATCAAAATGCTCGGGTCGACGAGACGAACACGCTTATAAAATTTGAGCTTGATCCGGCTTGGGATGAGAGAGACATGGTCTTTAAAACTTGAGCCTGAAACCCATAAACACAGTTTCCATTAATGAAAACTGGTTCACTGAGGGTGTACGGTAATAGCGTGTGACCTATCCATTTCGGGTAATTTGGCCATAACTTGGTCCAGGAACGTCTAATCAAGCCGAAACTTGGTCCTTAAAGGTTTTTAGACGTTCTGGATCCAATGG